TCAACAAGTTTGACAGCAGGAAGCTGGAGATTTTCTTTATCCTGCAGGCTAAACTAAATTGAGCTAACTAAAGGCTTTTTTCACATCTTTGAACTTTTTTTTTTACTTTTTTTTTTTCTGTTCAAATTATTCACAGCTGGTAGAGAAGTTGGGCTGGTCATTTCAGTAAACACTATGTGTGCTAGCAGCTGTGACTTTTGTTTTCAATGCAGTAGAGATCAAGCAAATGAAGTTGCAGCTATTCAGACTATTTGTCTCATTAGGAAATAAAGGAGTCAGTCGCTCAAAAATACACTCAACTCCTATAGCAGCAGCTGGCTGCAGTGAAACAGAGGGTGCATTTTGGTTTTGCCCTGAGACTTGCCTGTTCTGAGGCATTATTGCCATGCACAGAGACTGACAAAGTGCTGCCAGAGGATGTAGAAAGCAGTGGCCTAATCCTGCCAGCTTCACGCTCACCACGTGCGCAGCCATGGTACCTGAGCTCCTTCCTGAAAAGGTTTCAGTAGTGTCAACAAGAATTTGGGATTTCTTCTTCCCTTCGTAAAAGCCAAGATGTATGCAAACCATTTTTCCATTAGGGCCGCTGGGAATGTGCAAGGATGAGCCTGCCAACAGTGACAGGCATCACCTGGTTTATCCACCCCGCTGTGCTCAGTGCAGCATCCTTCATCCTCCCAGCACAGCACTCACCAGCCCCTTCTGCCACCAAGGTGCGATTAAAAAGGAGCCCTAAGGATTGGTACTCCTTGCAAACTAACCCCAAATCCAAAGAAGGGTATGAGACTTAAGGAAAAAATGGGCATAGAATTTTTTTGTATTCAATCAGGAAGTGTTTTCAGTTAAGCAAGCCACCCACGCCCCAAACAACAAAACCCTTGCTCTTATCAAAGAGAGGTGCATGAAAGCCACAAGAGCTGGACCTGCATTTAGACCACATTTCTTCTTCAAGACAACAGCTGTAATTTATGAATTTTATTTTAAAAAACAATTATTTTTTTTTAATCACCCGTTTAGAGCTGAGATTGTCTGGTCAATCTTTAACTACAGTACTCTTTTTCTTTTTGGTATCCCAGTGTATTGCTCCTCTAAGCAATCCACGGCCTTCTAGTTTCTTCGAAGTTTTACTTTCTCATGATAGAGAACAAAGCCAATGGTAGTATTTCCTGAAAACGGAGATTGAGTGCCTTTCTATATAACTGCATACCACCTTTGTGGATTAGACTTCTTTAGGAAATATCACATTTGATGGACTTTTCTGATTTGTGCCAATATTTATTTTTATAGTATCTATGCAAAACAATATGACGACAAAAATAGGGTAATCAAATTATTCTGGAAATATGCTTTCCCTTAAGACGTCACAACTATGGGATGTATGTAAAAAAAATTTAACTTGCCAAAGAAAATCAGATACAGTAACTAGGCAGAATCAACCCATGCTTTTATTTCCATTGCATATAAAAATTTCATATGAAGGTATTGATGTACAGTACTATCCCATAGGCTGTAAGAGAGGCTAAGAAACCAGTGAAAGAATAGTCATGTGCAATGTTCACACAAATTGCCACTCTCAAGACATACCCAAAAGAAAAATCAAATTAAAACAATAACAAAAAAATTGTTCAGGATTTCTGTTGTTATAGTGTCCCCTTTATATCACTTAAAACAAAAGCAGTCACTTTCCTTTGGGCCAGGGCTGCTAAAATCTACAGTTTGTGTCAAAAAGGAGGCTCTGTTTTTCCTTGAAAAAGAATCTCTCCTTTCACAAAGAAGTTGCATGCTACAAGGGCTGGGCATCGCTGGAATGGAGAAGAGGTATTTACCTCACTCTGGCAAATTCATTGATATCACCTCTAAGCAGTCTGGAGCAACGTCACAAGTCAAACAGCAAGAGATGTTCAGTCCAACCTGCAAACCTAATCCTAGTGTTATTAAAAGATCTAAAGGTTTACCACTCTCCTGTAGATCTAGTGCATTATGCTATACACACCTGTACAAAGCCTTAGATACACCTATATAAAGTAAAACTTTGGCTGCTGCTAACACTAATATTGGTGTTGGAAAGCATTTCCAAGATTAAAACTGTCTTTTGTCGTACTTTATGGATTCTGCTTATACAGTGATAATTTGTGCTGCTAAATAAAGAAGGGATGTTATAGATGATTGTAAAAGTGTATGAGTTATACTGTTCTAATTCTGATTATTCCATTTCCCAACATGCATAAAAATCAAATGCTTATTAGAAATGCTTTCCAAAGCTGTTTCGTTGCAATTCAGTACTGAAATACAGCATCAATTTTTTTATTTTTTTTTTTGGGGGGGGGCGGGGCAAAAAAATGGTTGTAATAATCCCTGATGATATCCTGTAAAAAGATAATCAGAGACACAATACAACTATATTGCCAGAAGTCTGGAAAAGCTTGAACTTCCAGTAGGCTCATAAATAAAAGCTCATTGTAGTATCATGCATATTAGCTTGTACGAGTAACCCCATCAGTTAGCAACTAAGAGTATGGTGGAAATGCCCAGCCCTAGCCCCACAGCTACCTTACTTTCAAATGCAGCAAAACAGAAGAAAATATTGTTTAAAGTTAAGGCACAGCCCTGGGACCAAAGACCTGCAGCTTTTTTTATTGATATATCTTTATCTATTTTATACTTTTCTTCAATCTTCCATAAACAAGCTCTAAGGTGACATTAAATACATTACAGGAGAAAAAAAAATGTACAAGGAATATGTATACACAATAATCATTCTCTCACCAAGAGTTTCCAAATATAGCAACACCACCCTGACAAGGATGATGTTATAATAAGAACTGATAATTTACAATTAACATTACAGTATGTACATTACAATAAATACATGGTTGTAAACAGAGACAAACAAGACTGTATTACAGGTAAGGTCATTTGGTGAGAAAAATGCATGGCACAAATAAAATAAATAATGCATTTGAAAACAACTGTCAAAGCTTTCCGTAAAATCCATTTCATTCAAGTTTTTTAAACTTCTGAATGCTATTTGTTCTATCTATATTCTTTCATTATCATTTTTTAATGACACAAAACAATTTAAGAATTCAAATACAGCATTATTGAGTACAGTAACTTGCAAGCTAAAGTGTACTGTTACAAGCAAGGTGAATTTTCTTTTTTCCCCCCACTCAATACCCACTCACTGCATTTTCTTATGGCAAAAATATTCAGAACACATAAAGCCACTTGTAAATTGTATTGTTTTAAAGCAATGTACAATGCTAAAACACACTTTGGCAAAAGAGAAAAAAAAGATTGTACAGTGCATTATATCCCCATCGTTAAGAAATGATATAGTTTTCTATTATGTGATTGTCCACATGTATGTGTGTATATCTCACAAGATGGTTTTACTCTTGCCACTTACTTTCAATTAGTGCAGATACAAAACCTTTTCAGGTCCCTACTGGTTATTTTGGAATTTATATTGCTTTTCCATTATTAAAGTTCCAGGCACTCTTGGGGAATGAAAGGATTTTTAGATGGATCAGGTTCAGGAAGAAATGATGAAGAACAAAAAAACAAAAAAAAAAACAAACAAAAAAACCCAGTCAAAAACTGAAAAAAAACCCCGTGAGTTCTTTTCATTCTCTTTCCTCCTTCAGCATCTTCTGTGCTGAGGCCCTGTGAGGGCTAAAGGTAAAAAAACCTATGACTTGGATCTAGAAGAATGCAAATTGCATTTAAAAAACTGAATTATTAGCCAATCATTTTTAAACAGGTTTTTATTCTAGATCTCAGACACTTAACTCCCTGTATTCATATCTGCAAATTTACTACAAAATGAATCCAAAGGGGAAATAATGGCCGTTGCTATTTTCTTTTGTTAAGAAATCATTTTGATATTATCATTTTACCAGAATTTTACAGAGTGGGAGTCTGCTAGCTTCCCTAGGAAGCTATTTCCCACCTCCTATGCTCAAAACTACAATTTTAACAAAGAGTAAAGTGGAGGAAGTAAAATTCCTTCTTCTTTCCGGTGACTAAACAACAGGGCTGGTAAATAACAAATACGAACTCCTACCACTCTTTAACTTTCCAAGTTACAGAAGGTTTCAGTACCAATCAAACTGAAAACCAGGATTCCCTCAGCACAAGCTGGATAAAGGATGAAAAGATCTGAGATTGAAATAATGTGGAGTAAACTACAACTCTCGTGATGCATTGCTCGTTTACTTAAAAACACAAAAAAGACAAGACTGACCTGGCTCTTGCAACAAAGACATGAAAAAATAATGCTAATCATTATTTTTGTGTTGTACACATCTCAGATGAGCAAATGGTTTAACTAGATAGCTGACACGGATAAAAAGTTTTTAAGAGTCAAAATTGGAAATATTACACTAATGCTTTTTTCGCCAGAACAAATATTCCATACATCGTATTAGCCTGTTCTGATTCTAATAGCCTGTTCTATTAGCAGTCATCTAATAGCTCCCAGCCAAAAATGGTCTGGAAACCATGTTTCAGATGGATGAGTTTTATTAATATAGCAGAAGAGCTGCTTTTGTATTAAGATGACAATTCATTACCTTTCTAATGGGCTCTACTCCTGCAAATCCTAATCTTAGTGGTCCCAGTTCGTTTCACTGGGACCACTTCTTGTACTAAGACAGAATTGGCAGAATTAGGGCACTATGAGGGCAAAAGCACAGCGTAAGTTCCTCTAATATGTTTGGGAAAATTGTGATGAAAAACAAATAAACAAAAAAACTATCATACTGTTTTACATAACATAAAGGATATTCGTGAAACTCACTAATATATAAAATAATAGACTTTTACAGCTCAATATTACCATGAGATTCTAAGGTGAAAAAAAAAAAAAGGAAGGAAAGGAAAAAAACCTAGAAGTATTATCCAGTGTAGCACAGATTTGCACTGGAAACTTGCAAGTTACTCTTTGGAAAAAAATAACCAGTGGCAGATGAAGTCTGAAAGTGTTTTTCTTTAAATATAATACCTTGGTACATTTAATAATAAAAGTAAGCTCTACAAAAGATCTCTCATTTACGTATTATACAAAATGCAGAGGCTAGTGCAACCCACTGGGTCACACTTTTTTCAGTCACGTTTCAGGAAGACTTGAAATTAGAAAATTATGCAATTTCCACAGCTCATCTTCCTATTGGTAACAGAATCATGTTGTGTCCCATCATTTATGTGCATTTGTTTTCCAGTAGGAACCTCAGTTTATTTTCTGTCTGTTTCCTCCCATGATGAACATTATCCAATGCTTTGCTTATGAAATACAATGAATTCAAAAACTGTCAAAGCAAACCAGCATTCGGTTGGCAGGTGGTACTCCTCTGAAAACCCTTTGCTTTATTTAATCGAATCTGCCAAATGGACAGCTTATTAAAACGTAGTTTATGGATGTTCTTCCCCCTGCTTTCTGGTGCCATGGAGGTGAAAATTCTGGTTACAATATTCCTGAGTGCCAAACTGAGTCATCAAAGTCAGTTTTGATCAACAAACGTCCTGGCAGATGACAGTGAGTTGTGACCATGGTTGTAGCATATGACATACACGTTGGAAACCACTACCTAATACGAACAACAAAAAAAAAGCAAACAAAAAAATCCCCAAAAACACAGAGAGAAAGAGGAGAAGAGAGAGGGCAAGAGAGAAGGAGACTGCATCTTCACCGTTATGTGTCAGGAGAATGGTCTTCTACCACACAAGGTTCTGTTTGGTTCTCCTCCTCTTCTACTTCTTCCCCTACTTGCTCATCAAGAGGAATTTCAGTGGATTCTGAATCTTGGGTGCAAAGAGTCTTGGAGTCACTGCAGCTGGTGTCTTCTTCTACTTGACTTCCACTGTCCTTTTCGGTGTCTGACTCACCATCTTCCTCCAGCGTTAGTTCAAACTGGAATTTTTCAGTTTGGCCCTGCCTACCCTCTTCCTGATCATCAGGTGCAGGAGAGGGACTTTGAGGGATTGTGCTCTGGTACCATTCTCGATTGTCCTCCAGTGTATCTAAGATATCCTGGGCATCTGGATGAACAAGATCTGCCCACGTCTCCCATAGAGGGTGAACAATGTAGTCTATAAAACCCACCTGTTTCAAAAAATACAAAATTAGGATAAGCTCTTACTCACAAAGAAATAAGCAACTATGCCCGTAAGTCACAAAGTATGAGAAATATAACGCTAGTAAGAGACACGAGATGCACTCCCCTCAAAGGTAGCCGAAAGGAAACCATGCTGTTTTATGTAGTAAACAGGGTCTTGTACATTTCAAAAGTCTGATTCAGGATGTTGGATAAGGACTTGGAAAGAATTTGGTTTCAAATGAACTGTTCATTCCAAACAGCTCCACTGCATCTAGTGAGCCAAAGAGCTGCTCTGTATTTAGTTCTGCTTTTGAAGGAAACCCTCATGAGCAGCTGCACAATACTCTCTTTTGACATGCATGCCATAATCCAGGTCACAACAGCAACGGAATCCCTTCAGCAAACACACTGCCATGCACTACGTTTTCACAATAAAAATTTCAGCTCCCCTCACTTACTACTCAGGAGCTGAATTAGTTAACTAGGAGGGAAAAAAAGAAAATAGTGCATTCAGGAATGAGTCAAAACACAGCTACGGACCATCCTTTTCTGTTAAAATGTCATACTATGTTATTTAACTGCCTACTCAAATCAATTACCTGTGATTTTTCTACAGATGCATTGTGCTTATCACACATGGGACTTATCTCCATTCCTCTCTCTCTTTCCCGATCTCCCTGACGGAAGAATTCCTCCATGATTCTGTCTGTCCATTGGCGGTAGAGATGGAGTGGCTTGGTTGGATTGCTTAGATCTGCACAGTGCACCATATTCTGAAGAACCTAAAACAGATTGAACGCTTGCGATGTTATTACACTGGAGAAAACCAGCTCCTTTTCCATTTACACTTTTGGTGGCTGTGAAACAGAATCTTGAAAATACATGTAGTGCAAGATGTATTCTAAACAGCAAAAACGTATGCGATTGGGTGTTTTTCACACTTGCACTAACAGCCATGAATTACCTTGCTTCTGCTGCTTCTGCCTATACAGGGGACAGAAGAATCTTTGAGAAAGACCAATCAGGTGCTGATAATTTGAAGGGAAGGCCGAAGCTTCACTTTGTGCAGAAGTACTCTAGCACTTCACTACTCTCTCAGAGAGTCACCCAGTACCTAACAGAGTATGTCACAGCTAGGAATCACAAGAGGGAGTAGAGGGAAGGTAGTAGTCATGGTGTGAGAATGGACAGCTGATCTAACCCATGCTGGACAATGGGCAGGTCAATGTTATTAAGGATGTAAGTATTACCAGTGATGGTTTGCAGATGATTTTTCTTACCTGAATCCTGTCTGAATAGTTATCAAGAAGTAGGACACCAGAACTGGTCACTTTTTTGGTTTCAACCATAGTTTTTAAATCAGCCAATAGATTCATATGCTTAGACATGTCTGTTGCAAGTACCTTGAAAGAAACAAATAAATGAATATTACATAAATTATTCTACTGACTTTTAAAAAAAAATCTTTGAACACACAAACAATTCTGAGGGTAAACCGTAAGTCCTGTGTCTGAATATACTACAAAAGTCTGAGTCCTGTAAGTCATTAGTGTCCCAAATAGTAAGTTTTCATTTTGGTTATTTTAAGAATATGACAAAATGGTTGTTAAGAATGATCTGATCACCCTAAACTGATCAACAATTCAGCAGTAAATTTCTGTCATGGTGAAATGGCATATATGCCAGCACAAAACCAGCTTGAAGCAGGGTTGTATACCTTCTAAAAAGGTATAGAAGGTTATTGAAACCGAAAAGAACCCACTATTCACGTTTGGCTAAGACACAATAGAACTTCAAACTTTTACTTCATTGGTTATGGGTTGAATGACATGTAATTTATCAGAAAATGCTTCTGTGCTTTATTATTCAATCTGCTAGCACTATGAAAGAGGGACTCTCAACAAAACTCACAATGTCAATGACCATTTTCCTCAATGACTGCCTCTGTTTTTTGGTCAAATTCTGGAAAATGTCACAATTTTCTTCCTGCAGCAGCTTGAAGCCCACAGCTAAGTGATGATTCTCCAGTACTGATGAGTCATTGTACATCAAGGCAAGTTCAGAATCTGCAAAAAGAATTGCAGGACAGAACGTTACTAAAGCCTGTGCTTCTACCAAATCCCTTAAGCTTTTTCAAATTCATTACATTCATAACAAGATTCACAGATGAACTTTTAGAAAGAGTTCCTGTAGTTCACACAGTATCAAAAGTTACAGAATTAATGACTGAACATCTTAACAAATCAAGGCAAAGTATGTTGAGGAAAATAAAGAACACACTTTGCAGTGAAGCATGTACACGTGCCTAGAGTGGCAAGTTAGAAAAAAGACAAGGAAAGAATTTTTCAGAATGCATTTTCATACCTGCGTGAGGTCACATGGAAAATATTATATGCATAAACACACCTAAACTAAAACACACTCTGATGTGTTCTCCTCTCATGCCTCTCTCCATCACAACTACTAAAATTCCATTGTTGAAGTCGAGTTGCAGCTACCCAGCACTTAGACCTGGGAATACCCAGCTGAGGCTTTGCTGCAGGTCAGGTAGGAAGCACACATCTTGATTTTCAAACCACTTCCTTCTGCACTTAGCTAAGGCACTCAGATGCCTAGCCAATTAGGTCTACAGGTCATCAGTCAATAACAATTGCGTATTTTGAGAGGAGTCTGGTAGGATAGTAACAGTTACATTTCTGATCTTTTTCTTGGAAGGTCGTGTTTGAAAATGCAAGCAGTGGCCCCGCCTGTAACACATTATAAGCTTGGTCAATGCCTGATGCCATAATGCTGCCTTCTCCAACAGAATTATCCTTAATTCGGCCACTCCATACAGCTGTGAGATTAACACCTCCCCCCCATCCTAGCAATGTCTGTGCGAAAGCACATAGTCAGCTCTGACAAATAAAAGCAGTTACTTCTGCACAGCTTTAGCTTCTACCTGGGGATACCACAGTCAGCTTGTGTATGTTTTAAGACACAGCCTGCAAATGAATCTGCCATAAAAATGAATACTTTTTAGGCAATCACACTTGTCATGTGTGGTATTAACTTCTATTTATTACAGCTGTTTTATCCTAAATCTAACCGTATGTCAGTCTATTCTACTCTTTGTCCTCTTTATCTTTTACAGCAGCTTTGTTTTAAAATCCCTCTGGCTCAATGGGGTGCCTATAAAAGCTCTGCTCTTCAGATTTCATTAGTCTCATTATCCATTCTCCTGCTGTCTTCCTCTCCTGTCATGAGTACATCGATCTTTTGAATCAGGAAACCCTTCCTCTACCTTTTCTTAACCCAATGGCAGCAAAACCATAACAGGAAAAGGAAAAAGAGAGCATTTGTCAGCTCATCTCTCTTTCATCTTTCACAGAACATTCACAAAGCTTGCTTACTTGTTATTTTTCTTACAAAGAAGGCAGGCAGTAGTTTATTTTCCTTTCAAACAGCCTTCTGATGAGCCCCAACTGCAAAACGCTCAACATTGCCAAAATACTTTGGAAGGGCTGGAGCTACAGACAGAGCTAAAATGTGCTCAACTTTGTAATGGAGGTGGAAATGGAAAAAAACTTCCCCCTTGGTAATCTCTGTAACACATTATTGGCTTCAAGAGCATCTGGAAGGACAGACTTACAGTGATCAAATAAGCATCTCCTCTGATGCTTATGCAATTCATGTTTGTTCTTCAACAGCATTCAAGAGGGATAGATTTTTAGACAGCTGTGTAATGGACTTTAAACCCTTAAATAGGGAAATAATATTCAGAAATATAATGTGTACATAATTATAAAGAATAAGCTGAAATATGGCAAATATGTACATACTTTAAGTAACCGTAAGTCTATTATGCTTGTTAAAATGTATTTTTACACTTCTTAGTGAAATGTTAATACATTTTAAGGTTCACTGGAAAACAAAACTAGGTGGAAGCAAATGATCTTCTAGAGGTTAGGAAAATCTAGGATTTGAGAGACCTAAATTAGATGGTCTTTGTCTCTGTCCCTACAGTTTCTTCCTTGTACAGAGAAGAACTCAAAAGGGATAAAATCCCTTTGTCTCTTTCATCTTGGCAACAGCAGCTCCGGTTAGTGATGTTACTTGACTGACATGGCAGCCTCCTCTATCAAAAGCTGAATTGAGAAAAACAAGACATTTCTTCTAAGCCACTAAAAAGCAGCATCAGAATCACTCCTAACTCATCTGAATTTCCACTGTCTGCTTAAAAGTGAAAGCTTTATGTACCACTACTGGTACCTTCAACTATCCAGTCACCCTGCTTAAACCTGAACAATTTGGCGGTTTCCCCATAGCACCTCAGAGCCACCAATATATCCTGATGCTCATTTTCTGATTAAACAAACAAATAAAAACTTTACTTATATATGCCCACTCTTAAGAATTTAGGTGTTACACACTGTTTTGTGCACAGAGCTTGATTCACTCTCTTCCTATACCAGACTGCTGAACTGCACTGGCTACCAATAAACCACCAGAAATCTAGAGTCAATCCTCCTCCATGCAGATGAGTCATCAAATTGAATTTGACTATCGGGTGGCGCTCAGGCCGTTAAGGCAAATAAAATTAGATGCAGGCTAAACTGGAGTGGAGGTCTTCTTTGAATGTACAAAAGCAATGAGTCAGAAGAGGAGCTCCCTTCTTCAAACTATACTGCTGATTTGGGGTCATGCTATTTTAGCACCAGTGCAATAGATTCACCCAAGTGCAGGAATGACAGTACCTACAAATGTGCAACCAGATGGGTCAAATACACAACCCTAGGTATATTTCCATTTCCGTAGCTTTTTCTTCATATTGCGTGGATTATTACTATTATTTCAATTTTTGTACTCCTGGGTCAGTTATCATAAAAGGAGAAGCTGTCAGATGACAAAAGAAGTAACATCGTGTGACGGAACTAGCAGTGACCTACAATGTGCTACCCACTTATAACAGTAACATACACCTCTGAAATCAAAGCAGGTTACACTGGGGCAACAAAGCCATTCAGTAAATATGTCTTCATCGGGTTCAACAAAGCTAATAGTGTTTTCCTCCTAGGAGAGTAATAGAGAGGGGGGAGAGATTCATGCAATGCTGCAGAGAACAGCCTTGAGGAATGCAGAACAAGTACACTGGGTTTTAAATTTGGAGACAACATTAAGGTCTCATTTCATTAGGGCTTTTTTCCTCCACCCATGAAGTGCCAGTGACTCACACACACACAGAGCAAAAAAAACAAAAAAAAAACCAAAACAAAACAAAAAAGAGGTTTGCCATAGCCTGCAGGGATAGACAGTCCAGGAGGCATGAGTATACAAAGATCAGAAACGAAGTACGGCAGCCTGGGAGAGACAGAGATGGGCCTACCAGTCTGTTTGCTGAAAAGAAACTTGTTTTCTGAATTTCTTAAAAATGTATGGCTATCCTTGGTCATATCATATGCTACCACCATAAACACATAAACTGTTGTCTTCCTTCTTTTGATTTTTATTTAATTTTCCTTCATTTCTCTCCTACAACTTTATGTATTTAACGTAAACCAACTAATTTCCAGGAGAAATCACATCTGATACATTGAAACAGTGCCGGGTTTATAGCTCATGTCTTAGTATCTTCTAGAAAGAATTACTGTGTAAATTATTTCTAAAGTTACAAGAAATGCAAAATAATATCCAGTTTAAAATACAAACACCTATCTATTTACTGAGAAAAGTTACAGATAGAAGCAAACAAGGAATGAACTATGTATTTTTCAGGTGCCACGTGCAGATCTTGCAGCAAATTTTTGAGAAAACCACTGAACATCAAACTTACTTGTGTTGATAAGAAACTGGTTTGAAACCCCAGGGTGATCTACATCATGTATTGCACTGGCAAAAATTGCTGCAAGAATCTCCAAATCAGTGAACACTGCCTAGAAAATAATGAAACAGAAATGACAATCAGTAACCAATGAAAAAGTGTTTTTAACAAAAAGGACTCCACTTTGAATCTAGATTTGAACAAGCAAAACACATTTGAAATGTATCAGGGATCTCAGGAGATTTTACACATAGGCTATCATCACCTTTTGTAAAATCATCAGTTATGTAGAATTTCATAAATATTCCAAGTTTGGCCAAAGTAAAACAATCCTTACTTCACACTGGCAGCATCACTAAATTCTGTAACGACTGAAGTTTTTTCAGCTTCGGTCTGTAAATAAATCCACTTTCGTTAAATCATTAAGCACAGATTGGATCATTAAGTACAGGGTTCTAACCTATAGCACAAACTGAACTTAAAAATTTCAGCCTGACTCCTATGTTCTGTCCTATACTTGAAAGACGCACATCTCCTAAATGACGCTACAGGAAATGGTAACAGACTACAAGGCATCTTACTTAACATTTCCTGATTTTTCTTCTGTATGAGATTATTAGGAAGATAGGACTGCAATGGACCTGGCATGTCACTGAGCCCAGTCCACTGTTGTCACAAGCACCACATTATATAATTGCTTTCATAATTGATCAAGAATATCTCAGAAGTGCGTAGGTCTGCAGTGGCACTGGGCAGACACTGCTATTTTACTGGTCAAAGCTTTGCTGAGAACGAGGCCATGAAAAACAGCTGATCTGGAAAAAAACATGAAAATGCTACTGATGACCAGTTCAGCCATTTGGTGAAGCCAGTGGTGATTTAGCAATATAATCAGATCTTTCTTCTTGAGATACAGAAAACCTTTCCCAAGAGAATTCCTGAGTCTTTGAGGATCAAGACCTGCCAACAGTCTTAAGGTCCACTTACAGCCCTCTTTTTAGGAAGAAGGTAAAGCTGAAGCATTCACTAACATGAAAGAATGGTCATTATGAAAATGAGTCAAAATGCAGCCCTCCTTGAAAATGAGGGTAAATCCTTTTGAACTACTAACATTTCAACTGCTTGCTTTATCTGCCTTTCTCCAACAATTTACTAAGACCTGAATTATGCTTAGAAAAGGGAAAGTAATCTCCATCTTTCTTCCACTTCCTTCAACTTCAGAGATTTAAGCACTTTCAACAGAAGAACTCCTCAGAGAACATATGAAATGTTATTTTTTTTTTCAAAATAATTTTGAAATATTTATGAAAAAAAAAAATGAGATAGTCCAGTGAAAATTTAACACATGTTCCACTCTGCCTCTGAAACAACCACAAATGTAGGCTTTCAGGACCAGAACAAATATGCACCAGGAAAAAAAAACCACAAACAACAAAACCCCAAAAGGTCTTATTGAGGGAATCCCATTTTATCACTATCTTTCCTAAACAATTCCACTAGTTATTGTTAGTGAGAATCCCACACGGGAAAGAATGACAGAACAGAATGTGGTATTAATAATGAGACAGTGGAAACAAGTTATGCATTTCGTTACAATGAAAAAGGTTAGGACAGCACAAATCTGCATGACTTGAAAGACACCACGACATTTTCTCCACAATATTTACATGTAAATAAGCTTTGATCCTCACAAAATATCTTTAGAAGACCAGAATTTATGAAAGAAGTGTTAAGATTTCTTTTAAAAATATTGCAGAATCTAAGAACTTTAATATTTAGTTTAGAAGAACCTTAGTATGTCCCTTTCTCTCATGCCTGCCTCTTTCCCACCTCAGCATGGTTTACCTCTAATGCCGGGGTTGACAGCAGGACATGGGTTGACTGAACAACATCTGCAGCATGTATGTTATTGTGATATGCCACATCCGCGTGGTAATGGTCTTCTAGGGTCATCAAGTAAGTTATTAAAGTATCTACTGGAATCTTAAATGTTTTCAACAAGTCCCGTTCCTAGAAAAGGAAAAGAGAAAAAATTAATATTGCAAAGCACAGAATAATCCCTAAGATAATAAAAAGCCAGCACAGCTGCTGCTACTTGCCTGAAAAATGGTGTGCATGATGACTGTCAAAGGTCTGTTTCCAGATAACTCTGCTACTCTGAAAACCTGAAGGCCCCATTTGTTCACATCTTCTAGTTCCTAGAGCAGAATCAAGCAACAAACACGTTGAAACCCAACACACAGATTCCAGCAATTTTTGATTGAAACAGCTACAACAGACTCAGGAAGGTCCAAACCTTGCTGCTGTGAAAGTTATATACTAAACTCTGGAAGGGGAAAAGCTAAGCTGCTGCCACTAATCTTGCAAAATTTGAATTTGCAGCTCCCAACTTCTTGGCTTTTAATTCGCTACGGAGGAAAGCGTGCCTCTTAAGAGGATTGCTTGACACACTTTGCTATCTCACTGCCCAGTGACAGCACAGTTCAGTGAGGAGGAAACCTCTAGAGATGCTGTGGTTCTGCTGCTGTCTCCCTGGTTCTCAGAAACACTCTTCAAATAAAGGGGGAGATTCCTGAAAACATAAGGATAGGCATATTTCAAAAGGTAAACCGCGAAAGTTGAATGAGCAATCACTTTACACCAGTTTTAGGTTATTGCCAAGTAGTTAGCTGCTGGTACAAAAATCAAAGGAAATGTCATTAAAACCAAACCCAGAAACGATGTACGTAAAATGGTACAGCTAAAGACAGGGCCTGGAAGGATAGCTTTAATGCTATATACCAGTAGTGCATTTTCAAAAAACATAGGACTGCTATACATTTTCATTCCTGTGACAGTATGTGGTACGTTTGCTCTTCACTCTTCAGATAGTATTTATGAATAAGCAGCTTCATTAATGCATACACAAATGATAATTTATATTCCATCTCCAGATGAAATCCTGGTCATGCAGAAATTAACCCTTAAGGCCTGATTCTGTTTTTACTTGTTATTCTTCCATTTCACCAAATTTATATTATTTGAGGTGAGACCAGCCTTTAGAGCTACAGCTTGAAATTAATGGTTATAAGCAAAGAACGGAATAATACTGACAAGTCCACCCTCCATTTTAATTCAATAGTTTAAATTCAAGGATTTACATATTCTATACCTTGGCAAGAACATCTTCTTGGTCTGTTTTCACTCCAAATCTGGGAATGCTGGAATTAGTTAGGCTGGAGCTGTGCATCAGTTTTTTGACTCCACTGATCTGGGACATTGGCCTCTTCTTTTTCTCTTTCTCTTTCTGTGTTGGAGAGGGGATTTCAACTTCATGTTGTTTATCTTCAAAGGAATGAAGAAAGAGAGCAATTTTTAAAGGAATTACAAATATTACAAAATTCAATGTTGAGTTGCATCTTATAGATATTGTAATTCTTAACAAAACTTTTTTTTATTTTTATGTTTGGAGATTTTGTAACAGATACTTCATATCAAAAGCAGTAAAACCATGAAAAGATAAACATAGACCTATACCTCAGTATGAGCAGACCCCTATTTTACAAATTGCTTCATTATTTCTGAACTGGCTTTAAATGTAACTTGTGACTGCCTGATTTCCATTTCTCCTACACCTCTAGCACTGTAGGGAGGGTCAAGCCTTTCATTATAAAAACGTTATTACAACCGAACAGAAAGTTAAATTTCCTTTTCGCAAGAAAACTTAAAATGTCTTTTTTTTCAGGATACATGGTTTCTGAACTTGCATTTCAAAAATAATCAAAACAGTATCTCATGTATTTCTTTAAAAAACATTTTCAGGACTCGAAGGACCTAGTTCTTGGGGACTGGTCCTGTTTGCGTTAAGACTCTGTACAACTCAGAAAGCCTTTTGCCAGCCACATCTACAAGTGCTTTGGATGCAGAGGCACTTCATGCCAGCAATGCAGTGCACTTCTGCACCTCCCAACCAGAGTAAGTAATACCAACAAAGGGACTGATGCTAAAACCCAACATTTGGCTGTGGGCTTTTGCTTCTATAGCAGTATCAGTGGCATCACTTCATATACCTCATCAATGTATGTGCCAGCAAAACTTTGAGAGTGAAGTATATTTAGGCAATTCCAAGCTGACTACTGCAGAAACAGTGTGGGGGTGTGGAGCACTGCAGATATCTGTAGTCCCCAAAGAAACCAAGTTAGTGCAACAAAGGACTCTCCTGCCAAAATTGCTTGGAATTTGCATTAATTTTTGTTGGTTTTATCCATACTATACCTCAACATAGAGTTTTAATGATTGCCTCCAAATTTTCTCTTCTTTATTGAAATGTACCTGCACCTTTTCTAGTCCTCAAAGAATATTCCAGCAAAACAAGGAAAGTCCATAACAGATGTTTCTAACATAGAAGCCTAGCAAAAACTACAATTTATAAAGCACCTTGGAGCAAAAGGCATTTAAAAAAAAAAAAAAAGGAAAGAACATTTGGGCTCTTTAAAACATATGTCTATTTTTTCCTTCCTGCAATAGTAATTTTCAATTAAGACACTGAAAACAGAGGAGGGTAGCAAGTCAGTTTCTAATGACCAGATTGTTATTGTGTTTGCTTCTTCACTTTCTTTTTTCCATTTCTTTCGTTTTTAATTACCCTTTAGCAGCCGCATTGACTGGACACCTCAAATTCCAAACCAATCACAGCAAAGAAGAAATTGTGGAAATGTCACCAAGCTTTAGCCTGGGGCACCGAGTTCCCCAACTGCCCCTGCCACCCTTCACCACTCTCCACATGTGGACAATCAAGAAAAGGGGGAGGGAAGAGCGCTGCAGCTCTTGACTGGTGCAAACCAACAACAGATGAGGAGCAGTGACTCGTGTTCGTGCTTTGATGTTTATGATTTCAGTCATATGCACAAAGTTTAGACCCATCAAAGCGAGGTTCGCAAGCTGAGCTGTCAGACCAACTCAAGTGAAAGGAAGTGTCTGTCTGAACAACTTTAGATCTCCAGAGGAATTCCATGGGACTGCCTCTGCTTTTGTAACTATGAGCACAGAGGGCAGAGGATCCTGTGCCCATCTGAACATCCAGAAAAGACAGTTTGCCATTTTGACCCTGGCTGTGCTACACTCACTGCGAGGGTCTCTTACATTTTCTGTTCATAGGCAAACAGGTTAATGACACTGAAAAATAAAAACCTTGTATATTATTATACTCAATGTAGGAGCCTTAATTCTTACACAAGGAATATATTTGTTGTCATTATGAATAACTTCATACATGTCACATAGCCCTACTTGGGAATACAGTCCTTTTTCTTGTTTGTTTTAAGAATACGAAGAACAGAGAAACTGTTTTCTCATGACATGTTCCTTTCATATGTGAGAAAGTCTGTAGACATTCAGGAGACAGATTCTGTATTTAAAAAATTATCTCATTAAATTTTTTTATGGAAAGAATGTTTTCCCTCTTCACATTGTTGCTTAGAACCTATACACTTAGCTGCATATTTTGAAAATACTCAAAGCAATATTCTGTACATAAGGTGTTTTCCCCGTTGTGTTCCTACAATTTGAAGTATCATAGTTTTTTATGTAGTCAGAAAACAGTACCCATTACTCAGTAACTTAGAAGCAATTGCCTTTCCAGCTCTCTTTCTGCTCAAGGCTGAGGTCTGATGTGAAAGGCTGAGGATGCATTTCCTTAGCCTGTCAAAACAAGCCTAAAGTTTCCAAGTAAAAGCAGGCAGAAACTGGTATCTCAGTCTTTTCAGCCTAACTGGGTCATCTTCTCAGGAAACTGTACATGACGACTTTCAGGGCTCCTGAAGCTGTGCAATACTGCTTCTCCACGACACAGGCTCATCCTTTTCTTATTGTCTGAAACCCCACTGTGCCGCAGCGCTCAGGCATGCTATTGCAATCGTGGGTAAACTGAACAGACACATTAAGTGATCCATTTAGGATATGGTGACAAGCAGGGTAACATGTACTTGAAAAAAAAAACCCGCTTCTTTCAAAAAACACAAAAAGCACCAGCTATGGTATCTCACACAAATAAAAGAAGACGTATCTTAACATGTATGACGGGCACTTTTTAAAGTACTTGTTATCCTAATGTAGGTGTATTCTGCTGTGCCTTCCTTTATGCACCCTGCCTTTATCTATCAATGGTGTTTTGCTCAAAACATGTTTGAGATTTGTATATCATCTTATCTTCACGTTTAAAATCAACAGCATGAAACCAAGTTTTATTCATTTTCACCAGTTTTAGCAGAAGATAGATACACTTCCTTCTGAAAAGCCATAGAGCAGGAACCATACTCTTTGTAATATTCTGTTGGGCTTTTTTTAATGCTCACATCCCACCATGCCAAGCTCTTGAGCCACACAAATTCTCCTGGCAGCAATCTGCTCACACTTTGACTTAGTGATATTTATCCACCCGCTCAAATACAGTTAGGGAATACCAAAGCATCAGGACTATTTACTATGAGATTTTATGACGTTATTTGTGCTTGTGTGCCTCCACACAAGCACTGGAGATACTCTTCGCAGTAACTTTCATACAGGAAAAAGAGTGGAAGAATTATTTTTAATAAATAATTAATTCATTATATATTCGTTTCGTAACATGGTAGCAATATAGTAGTTGTAATGTTATATGAAAATATGTACACAAATATTTATCTGTAATTGCACACACAGGGAAACCACATACACAAACTAAAAAAAAAAATAGGGAAATGGATCTAACATGATCTCTCTGCTCAAACACTGAACAATGAGACACTAAACGTACAGTTTCTGAAAACAGAAATTAATATGGAAAGCTACTTGGTTTTAAGATCTATCACAGCCCAGAGAGAGAATAAATAAAAAGGCAAAAAAGGTAACTCCCATCGCAGTCTTACCTAAGAATGTGTTCGATATATATTCTGAGACCTGATTGCCAGACCTGCTCATTTCAGATAGGTGGGTTAGCTCCCGGTTAAGCATTCTTTTAAACTGGAAAACAAAACAAAACAAAAAAGTGTGAAGTTAGCAATCAAGATGTATTTAAGTTAGGATGACAAAACGCAGTCAATTTATAATTGGAGACAGGACACGACATTAAGAATATATAGTAAAGTAAGAAAACTGTGAAGCAAAAATCCCACATAATATTGCTCTACCCTACTAACTTATTTCTAGGTTGGACAACGTAATTCTTAGTTTCCTAAAATAATCTATAGTGATTCACTAACTAAGGCACAGGGTCCTACTATAGTAACTGAAAACTATAAGACATCTGTATAGACACAAATAATTAATACTGTCTTTTCAATTTTTCAATTTCAATTTGGAGAGAAAATACAACTGTATTTACACAGGACCCTTTCTCTAATAGGGTTTTCTTATCATATTTGTAAACTAGTATTTATTATTAATATAATATTTGTGCATTTTTTGCAATTAATTTTGTAATATTTCAAGTTTCTTACCTCTTATCATTAATCTAACTCATACATTTGACAACACGGCCCAAAACAATCAAAAAATCTTACTGATTTCCGACACACCAATATGCATAGAGGTAGATTTTGTTGTCCCTGACTTAAAATAATCATACTGCATCAGCCCAATGACTTGACCATTCCACAATCTCAGAAGATTGTCAGTATCTGTATGAAACGTCGGAGTAGAAAATACCCATCTGTGGAAACACCTCCTTCCCTTTCCCTCTACATTAGCGATTCACTCTAGGCACTCTATAGGACAGAAGTGAATATTAACATTCCATGAAATGTGTAATCGATTAGGTACTCATCATTGAGCCTTTCTTGATTCCTTCTAGACTCCAGGGTTAAATGATATCTTGTCGCATTGTGTTCGACAGGTTAATTGCATAATACAGCTCTAGCATCTCACATACATTTTCATTGACTATAGCTCTGCCTTGATTTTATCAACAAATAGACCTCAGCAATATTTATTAGCAATTTAAACAACTCTTGCCAATGCAAATGAGAAACCATCTGTCACTACTGAATTTTGCCTCCCATTGTGCCATCCTCTTATTTTGCTGTTAGATTTCTCAGCCATCTTTTCTCTTAACAAAGCCAAATGATTTGTGCCATTTTCAGAATCATGTTTCACCTTGTTCACCCAGTTATGACTATTTATTACATCAAGCAACAGCTACCCTTAGCATATATCCCTGTAAACGTTCCTCTGTGTTGAAAACTGGTAATTTATTTTTCTATGTAAGATAAAGCACTAGACTAAACATTAACCACCTCCTTTCCATCCCAATGGAATCATCAAAGCCCTTTCTTCAAAGAGGCCTTGCATAGTGAAAAGTGTTATTTTCTTTACAATGTCTTTCTAAGTCACCAATTACCGTATTGCTTACAGTGTGCCAAATAAAAATTACCTTTAATATAAGACTAACCATTAGCCACTGCATTTTCCTGCCATTTTGACATACCATCAGCTCAGGAAGTTCCTGAGCTACAAAGACCGAATCCTACTTTAGTCAGAAGCCAAAGGCTCAGCTTTGATCTCAGATACGGCCGTGTGCCAGCAAGTGCTCAACACATTTCCGAAAATTAGAACCATACTGCTAATACAGCTACATATACTACAAACTACAGGGCTATGCATTCTGCACAAAACCAGTATCAACCTCTACCGTGAGGTCTGATGTTTGTCGCCGATGTCCAATGTTAAAAAAACAAGTCAAACTTGCCAAGCAGTAAAGTGACTGGTCCAAAAATCCTAGAAGCATTTTTAAAATTCTATCTTTAAACTTTTAACACGTGCTTAAGTCATGCTTGCATGCTTTTTCTTCTGTAGGCACATGAAGGTGAGAAACAGAATTACTTAAGTCAAAAACTAAAGATCTCACGGAAGCGCTTGTCTCCAGATGGTATACAGAAACTGAAGCTTTAAATTAAATATCGTGTATAGGAATCTTATTAAAATGTCAGAAGTTGACAAAATCACATTAACTTCCAGGCATGTCATCAGTATATCCATTACCACTCCAATATTCTTCCTTAATTTAATCCAGCTAGTTCACCGGACCCCAACTAAATAGGTCCTTGTCTGTCTGGTTGTTTCCTAGTAAACCCTTTTAGATGATGCCCAACTTTGTGATGCTGTTTTTGCTGCAGAGCAACACTACTGGGTCATGTTCCACACTTTGGAAAAAGACCATCTAACCACCACTAGTACATATTCTTCAGGAACTTTCTTTAAAAGTTTCCCAGCTTTGAAAGGGGAACGAATTGGTGTTTGTTTGCACTATGCTTTTTCTGCAGCTACCTAACACAACAAATAGGAAGGACTTCCCCCGTCTCCAAATCATAAATTTAATTGTGGGAGTAAGTAGGGAGAAGGTTTGTTATTGCACACTAGGAATCATTTTGTGGAACTTATGGACTGCATGTTCTTTCAGAATTTCCAACTAAATATTTATTGTATGGATGTCCACAACAAACGGAAGGTGCACGGCAGTCTTTTCTAATGCTATCTCCCCACTAGTCTGATGCAAAGCCTTGTCTTCCCACCTCCCATTGCCCCATAAATCACCAGAACATAAAAGCTCAAGAGCCAGCATGAAACCTGCAGAACAGTCTGTGTTGCTGCTGAACATGGGTATACAGTAAAACATGTCCCCCAGCTTCTGCAAGGCCCTCCTGCTAACAGTGAATTCAATGGGAGAAGCTTTTAGCTTTGAAGAAGTGTAGCAGCGCGATTTCCTCATAATCTTTCACATGTTGCTGACGCCACAGCAACAGGACTTTAATTGACATTTATTTTGAAAACATCTGGACGAAGATGTCTAAACTAAGGAGTTTAGAGAACTGTTTTAATTTTCTAATTATAGACAAAGCCTTACAACCACCATCCACATTGAAACAGATTAAGTTGAAAACCATATGCAGACAGCAGTTTCTGATGCAGAACAATAGCGCTCTTTGAGAACATAAAATAAACCCAAGAGAGATGAACAGCAATCGAGATGTTTGGAAACTTTTTTGATTATACCCTGGTTCAGTATATCTGTATGTTACTTAATCCCCTGATGGTTAGTAACTTTTCCTGTGGGGAAAAAAATCTTTTTTTATAAGGAAAAAAACAACAAACCAAACCAACAAAACAAACCCAAACTCCTACCTTTTCCTTATTTTACCTATTTCTCAAAGATTTCATGTGGGCCCAAGTGTCCCCACATGTAGTTGGTGCTTCAAAGAGTGTCAATTTCCCACATATTTATACATCTCTGTACAATTATGTTATAATGAAACTCTGCCTAACTATCACTGGGCTGCCACGAGATCTTATTGCAAATCAGCGAAGTTTCTGCTACATCCGTGAGTCAACACTGTTTCAGCCATCCAGAGGACAACTCTTAAGTGCTTGCAACTTGGCTAGACTGTCCACACTGTCATCTAACAAATAACATTTAGCACTTCATTTGAAACACATCAAACAAGGCATGAAACTAGCTTGTCACTAATAGTAAATGTTAAAGACAATATTTTAAATAAGAATATTAAAAATCTGAATGCCAAATACTTTCCCAGTTGAAGGAAATCAAGCATAATGCATCAAAACTCTTGTTACTAATAAAGTTTTACACTATACACTTTTATTATTATATTGTCAGCTCAGCATGGGGAGGAAACAGAGGTTTTCGACTGATCTATGCATATATTGTATTCTTCCTCAGGAAGAAAGATTTTCTCATGTTAAGACTCGGCATTGTTGGAGTAGAAAAATGACACATATATATCCCTTTGGAATACCACAGCCCTCGACTATAGTCGAGGAAATTCCCCCTGGAAATGGGACAAGCTACAAAATGTTAAGCTAATTTACAGTTCTTCACTGCTGAATACTGATGTCACAGCAACAGTGAACGTATTTCCTTACACAGATTTTTTCTCATTTCATTTGTTTCTATTGATTTTAATGATTTTACTCTCAGCATGGGGGGGGAGAGGGGATACAACCCACAACACAAACACAGGCACAATACTCAAACAACATTAAAAATCTCCCAGAGGGACAAAAGTACATATGCACATTTACCTCCCTTTAAAAACCTAGGTAGTCTTATGGAGGGAAAACTGTAATACATGAAAATAAAAGTGCATATGCTGATGAGACAAGAACAGTGTTCTAAATAGTGGTCACCTCCAAAGCACAGGTTATGAACGAGGGATTGAGCTTGGTAGTTTAGGTCCTTCTGGGCTGAAGGCTAGTGTGCGCGTATTTCTGCATATATACTACTGCTGTCAACCTAGGATAAATATACTTGGAGGTTTTGGGGAAAAAAATAGGATACTTTTCTGATATCAGCAAAAGTACATAGAAAAATTTAGGCAAAATTTTGCAGTAACTGTGTTTCCAGATGGCAACCAGAGCACTGACACAATTTCGGAAAGACTCCACATCTATACTACAAAGAAACTTCAAAGGCATAGTGAAGATCCAACTAGAGCCAATTCATGGCCATGAAAAAGTTTGGGCTGCATGTTTAATATATATGGGATTTATTGATTACACTTTAGAACATTTTACATTTTTAGTGTGAAGTTCTTGACTCAATAACAAAGCTTAAGTAGATATGCAGCCTGCAGTTGGTTGTGTTGGGAGAGGAAGCACGCAGAACCGCCCTTGGTGTAGATGCCTTGTCCTGGTGGGACTTCTTCCACCCAGTCCTTCTGTTCCTGAACAAGTGATCTGCTGCACCCCAAGGACTGTAAAGAGGCTGCCTCCACTACAACCTTTGGCACCAGCACAGAAGCTGAAGCTAGGGCTAGAAAGTAGTCCATGGACCAAGAGGCCCATTCTGTCTGCCCTTCAGTTTGAGCGTTAATCAAGCTCCAAGCCCAGTGGAGGCTGGAACCAAAATGCCCAAGAGCACTTGGAGCCTTTCATTGCAGTGGCTCCAAAACCCACATGTCAACAGATCCCAGTTTCAACCTTTCTGGATGCCTCTTTTCTAGGTAACA